TCAACACCTCTTGCGACAGTTTGACCCTTTACATTTTAACAGTACAAATTCTACAAACACCCTCCATATCTCCTCAAAATCATTTCTTCTGCATATTCCCCATCTTTCCTTAATGGCACATGTCAATTTATCATTAATAGCTATATCCCACACCTCTTTGTACCATTCTTCCATTTTATATTCTGCTTGCGCCTTCCACTTCCTTGCTATAATAATTTGTGCAGCTGTTAATAAATTTGTGAGCAAGTCCTTCATAGCCTGTGAACCTTCCACCCCAATGTAAATTGATAATAATGCTACCTCTGGACTAACAACAATAATTTAAAACTCTTTAAAAGTTAAAATAGCAAAACCCAAGAAACAGATTAAAACCTGCACCAGCTTTCTGAACATCTAGGTGAGCTTGCCTTCACAACAATGCTTTCAGCAGCTGCCGAAAAGCGGGCAGTGATGTCAACAGGCGGGGAGTTCCGAAGTGTAAAAAGGCTGAGTTCCTTGAATTGCAAAATGGGTATCATGGGGCTCCTGTAGCAGTGCCAGTTCCACTGGTGGGAGCTGTCAAGTGGGCGCATGTGGGGGAAGACAGCAGTCCCTTCTAGAACAAGAAGAGCAGCAAAAATGAATGGTTTTGCAGCTGGCAAAGGGCAGGCTTAAGTTGTTCCTCTGCAAAAGGATGGCCTTTGTGCCCACACTGGGGGGTGGGTGGGTGTCCCAGACATTTGCTGCCCACAGGATCTTAGGGGCTGAAAGGGCATCACAAAAAGGTGTGGGTGAAAAGATTCAAACGGCTGATGTGGCAGGAGGCTGGTGTAGGAGGCGAGGCAACGGAAACTGTGGTCTGGCTGCCTCACACCAAATTCCACAAGCTGAACTTTGCGGGTTCGTCCTGCAGATGCTCTGTCACTGCCCTTTCCCCTAAAAATAATAAAAATAAAGCAAGATCTTAGTCCTCATACTTCTGGGGGAAAGGCTGATTTAAAGAGGAATGTAGGAAGATGCCTTATAATGGGTCAGACCTCTGTCCTAGCTCAGTATTGTGCTCTGCCCGCTGCCCCCAAATCATGGAATCATTGAATTGTAGAGTTGGGTCATCTAGTGCAACCCACTGCAATGCAGGAATCTTTTGCCCAACGTGAGACTCGAATCCATGACCCTGAGATTAGGAGTCTCACGCTCTAGCGACTGAGCTGTTGTGACCGTTTCCTGACTTGTCTTACCTGTAGGCAACTTGCAGGTGACCGCAGTGCCTGGAGAAAGGCAGTCAAGTTGTGCATCCATGGCAGTGGCCAGAGGAGGAATGTCCTCTGGGAGGAGCACAGAGAGACGAAACGCCATAGTGCATCTGCAGCAGCACAACTGGACGCCTTCTTCTGCCCCGGTTGCAACAAAACATGTCTCTCCTGTATCAGTCTCTACAGCCACAGCAGGCGCTGAAAGCTTCTGACAGTTTGTCTTCACCCCCAAAGCACACTCTGCCATTGTCTCCAGAGACAGATGGGTGCCAATTAATATGCATATGCCGCCTTTTCATCCAAGGAGCCCAAGGCAGAGTACTTGGCTCTCCCCCCCCCCCCATTTTATCCTCACAACAACCCTGTGAGGTAGTTACAGATAGGTAGCCGTGTTGGTCTGCCATAGTCAAAACAAAAAAAATTCCTTCCAGTAGCACCTTAAAGACCAACTAAGTTAGTTCTTGGTATGAGCTTTCGTGTGCATGCACACTTCTTCAGATACACTGAAACAGAAGTTGCCAGATCCTTCTATATAGTGAGAAGGTGGGGAGGGGTATTACTCAGAAGGGTGGTGGGAATGGGTGATTGGCAGATAGCTGTGATGAGCCTGTTGACGACTCTTAACGACTGCAATAGGTCTTACAGGAAAAAGCAAGGGGTGAGAAGGTGAAAAATGGCTTTGTCATGTATAATGAGATAAGAATCCAATGTCTTTGTTCAGACCAGGTCTCTCCATGGTTTTAAGTTTGGTAATGAGTTGCAATTCAGCAGCTTCTCTTTCCAGTCTATTTCTGAAATTCCTTTGTAGTAAAACAGCTACTTTGAGATCTTGTATAGAATGTCCTGGGAGATTGAAGTGTTCTCCTACTGGTTTCTCTGTCTTGTGATTCTTGATGTCAGATTTATGTCCGTTTATGTCCTGTGAGGTAGGGATAGGCTGACAGAAGCAGTGACTGGCCCCCAAGGTCGCCCAGAGAGCCTCATGACCGAGCGAGGATTCGAACCCTGGTCTTTCCCAGGTCCTAGTCCAACACTCTAACTATTACACCACCCTGGCCCTCCTCTCTCACACACACTCATACACGTGCTATTATTATTTTACTAAGCACTTCGGAGCAATGACAGCATCTTAAAAAGCAGAGCCATCACCTTGCCAACAAAGGTCTGTATAGTTAAAGCTCTGGTTTTCCCAGTAGTGATGGATGGAAGTGAGAGCTGGACCATCAAGAAGGCTGGTCGCCAAAGAATGGATGCTTTTGAATTATGGTGCTGGAGGAGACTCTGGAGAGTCCCATGGACTGCAAGAAGATCAAACCTCTCCATTCTGAAGGAAATCAGCCCTGAGTGCTCACTGGAAGGACAGATCCTGAAGCTGAGGCTCCAATTCTTTGGTTGCCTCATGAGAAGAGAAGACTCCCTGGAAAAGACCCTGATGTTGGGAAAGATGGAGGGCACAAGGAGAAGGGGACGACAGAGGACGAGATGGTGGGACAGTGTTCTCGAAGCTACGAACAGGAGTTTGACCAAACTGTGGGAGGCAGTGGAAGACAGGAGTGCCTGGCGTGCTCTGGTCCATGGGATCACGAAGAGGCGGACACGACTAAACGACTCAACAACAACAAAGCACTTCGGCTGCTTGCTGCTCAGGCTGAGCCGCTTTTGGAGACACATCCGTGGCGCACGTCCAGCGGGGGCTCAGCAGATCCCCCAGGGAGCAAGCTGGCTCTAATGCATGTGGCAGAGTTAAAAAGAAAAGAGGGAAAAAAATCTTGCTCCATCAGCACTGGGAGGAGATCCAGGAAAACACTTAGCCCGTGTCACTGAAGGCTTGTTTATGGCGCAGACCTCCCTCTCCTCCCTCAAGCCAGCTGGTTGCATCCAATCCATTTCATTTGATCCAGCGGAGGGAGGGAGGGGGGACCGGGGAGAGGAAAGGTCTCCGTGCGCCCCTGCCGATGTGCGCACCGGTGCCGCTTCCCAGCCGACCGCCTGTTGCGAGCCTCGGGTCCATTTCTCGAATGAATGAAAAGCAACCGGCTGATTTGCTTCCGTCAAAGCAAGCCTGACCTTCCAGCGAGCGAGGGGGGCTTTTTCAGAAGTCCGAGGATGGAGGGCTGTGGAAGGCGGTGAGGAGAGAGGCTCCCTTGGAAGAACTCGGCGGAGTTGCCCCGTCTTCTGGTTTCCAGGCTGGTGAACTCGGGAGGCGAGACCCCCAAACCGTGTGGGGTGTCGGTGTGGGTCTGTCCTCGGCTGCGGATCGAAGAGGCAGCCCTTGTCTCCAGCGCTGTCCCGTAAGCGTCTTTGCCGTGGAAAACAGCGATGGCAGGCGATGGAGAAGACCGGAGGTGGCCGGGTCAGGAGCTCAGGTGGAGAAGTAGGGGTGCTGTTCAGCAGGGTGTCACAGCCGGGGGGGGGACACACCAGCCAGCCCCCCAACCTCAGTTACTAGAAAACAAACGAGGTTAACCGGGGGTCAGAATTTTGCTTTGGAGATGTTCGGATTTCTTTTGCTGTCATCTGGCAGATGTTCTTGTATATGATTTTTTAATTGTTGGGACTTAACTAGGAATGACTTATTTATTTCTTAATTGCCTCTATATCTCACATGCTCCTCCAATAAGTTAAAGGGGGTGTACATGGTTCTCCCTGCCTCAAGTCTAATTCCCACAACAACGACCCTGTGAGGTAGGTCAGGCTGAAAAAGGCAGCGACTGGTCCAAGGTTACCCCGAGTGGGGGAGTTGAACCCTGCTCTCCAGGGTCCTCCTAGCCCATCACTCTAACCTCTACGCCACACTGTCTGTCAGGCACTGATCACCCGATTGCTTGGTGGATTAACATGAGTTGTTGTCATTGGGCTGTTGTTATTAAAGGTAAAGGGACCCCTGACCATTAGGTCCAGTCGTGGCCGACTCTGGGGTCGCGGCGCTCATCTCGCCTTATTGGCCGAGGGAGCTGGCGTACAGCTTCCGGGTCATGTGGCCAGCAGGACTAAGCCGCTTCTGGTGAACCAGCGCAGCGCACGGAAACGCCATTTACCTTCCCGCCAGAGCACTACCTATTTATCTACTTGCACTGGTGTGCTTTCGAGCTGCTAGGTTGGCAGAAGCAGGGACCGAGCAACGGGAGCTCACCCCGCCGCGGGGATTCAAACCGCCAACCTTTTGATCAGCAAGACCTAGGCTCAGTGGTTTAGACCACAGTGCCACCTGCTTGGCACTCCAGCAGTTTTTGGACTACAGTTCCCATCATCCCTGACCGCTGGTCCTGTTAGCTAGGGATGATGGGAGTTGTGGTCCAACAACAGCTGGAGACCCGAGTTTTGGAACCCCTGTAAGGCAGTGGTGGCCAAACTTGGCCCTCCAGCTGTTTTAAGACTATAACTCCCATCGTCCCTAGCTAACAGGACCAGTGGTCAGGGATGCTGGGAGTTGCAGTCCCAAACCAGCTGGAGGGCCAAGTTTGACCACCACTGCTGTAAGGCAACCAGACACACATTTCTCTAGAAATATGAGGAAACGATTCAGACCCTTTTTCCACGTTTGGATTTTTTTTGGGGGGGGCGTCCCAGACACACTTGCTCTCCAGCAAGCTCGTGCACCGCGCATTAGGGGTCCTGCGCGGCTTCTTGCACGCAGGAGCGCGCGCACCCGGGCCTGGGACAGCAGCCTGGGACGGCCTTTGCAGCCCCGCCTGCTGGGCGGATCCCTCCGGGCGGAGATTGGGCTGGCCCAGGGCGCCGAGAGCGGAAGAAGCTCCCGAAGCGAGAGGAGGAGGAGGAGGAGGGAACTTTGGGGAAAGTTTGAATTTATTTGTGCTCCGGGGGAGGCGGACGGGCGAAGACCTTCCGCGCAAAGGAGCGGGGGACGGGGCTCTCCATCCTCGCCAAGGGACCCTCCGCCCCGGGAGGCCCCGATCCGGCCCCGGCGCCCAGCCATGGGGGACCCTGAGGGAGAAGGGGAAGAAGCGGCGGCGGAGTTCGAGCGCCACTGGCGCCTCGAGTTCCCCGGCGAGGCGGCGCCGGCGCTGCGCCTCCACTCGGTGGCTTCCATGGAGGAGGAGCTGGGCCGGTGCCGGCGGACGCTGCAGCGGCTCCAGCGGGCCCTGGAGGAGGAGAAGTTCAAAGTGGTCTACTTGGAGGCGGCGCTGCAGCGGCGGGGAGGAGAAGGAGGCGGAGGAGAGCCGCCCGCCCCGTCCAGCCCCTGCGCGCCCGGGGCGCACAAGGAGACGCCGAAGGGTCTTTCCAGCCCCGGCGCGCCTAGGGCGCACGACTCGGCGCCGGGGGAGCCCCCGTTGGCCCGGCGCTTGCCTCCGCCGCCGCCCCCTCGCCTCTGGAAACGCCCCCCAATTCGGGAGCTCCCCGACGGCTGCGGCTCCCCCGAGCGCCACCTGCGCCTGGTCCAGGAAAGCGAGTCTCCCGGCTGCAGCTGCGACTCCGAAAGAGCGGGAGGAGGAGGAGGAAACAGCGACTGGAGCTGTACCAGCTCCGACCACGAGGATGCTTCGTCCGTAGGTAGGTCTCCGGGCGAGGAGAAGGGGTCCTGGCACGCCCCACCCCACCCTCAGTCTCTCTCCCATTTTCCAGAAAGACTGTGGTAGACTGCGTCTGGCCAGGGAGGCTCCATTGAAGTGACTTGGCTTTGTCCCGTTTTATTATAACAGTGTCATTCCTGGGATATGACCGCAGCTTTGGGACTTAAGTGCCTTGTGCTGAGCTACATCTTTGGGCTATCTGGCACTCGTGGAGGAAAAGGCTGTCTGGCTTCTGGCCAGAATGGCTCTGCTGGAGGCAGCCATGCTTCTGAATGCCAGTGGCTGGAAACCGCAGGAGGGGAGAGTGCTGCTCTTGTGTTCGAATCCTGCTTGCCCATTGGGGGCGTCTGGCGCCAGGCGCATTTTGTACCAGGCTATCAAAGTGAGGATGCCCAGGCGGTGGGATGGTGTCTAGCAATCTCCATCTGGAAGTTCCTGCCATTGGATCTGGGCTGTTTTCACACACTAAGACCACATCCTGTAGAATTCTCACGCTTACATTATATCTGAATGAATTTCAGGAACCAAAGTGCTTTTTCTGTGCAGCCTGAGCAGGAGCAGTGAAGACGGTATAGTTAATTGTTGTAGTTTGTCTTCACTGACCCCACCCCAACTGCCCTGCTCACAGCTGTGAAGAGTATTCCTACGTTATGAATGGTCACCATTAAGAAAAAGAGGTAGGAATAAGCCACTATATGTGTGGACTGTCCCTGGATCTAGTGACTTTTCTTCTTTAAGTTCTCTAAGTTCTTAATCTAACTCAAGGTTGCCATATAAACTAACCAGATGTTTAACTGAGTATCAGTCACAGTCAGTCCGTCATCTGATATTCTGTTTTGGCGACTGTAACCTTGATTTAAGGAGCTATTTGCCCCTAGCTTATATATCTGAGTTTCTAACACTGCTACCTTAACTTACTGGAGAATCAACATCCCTTGATAAATAAATAACAACAACAAATTAAGTGCCTCTGCAGGAAATTAATAATACATCCTTCGACAAAGGCTAATGGATGCCCTCTTTAAACTTCTTTATGGTTACATTGTATGGTTTTATGGCTTTATAGTTGCAAACCGCTTTGATGTATATTTTTTTATGACAAAGCAGTAGGCAAACAGTTTTTATAAATAAATTATTATTGTTGTTAATAATAACAACAATAGTATTTTGGGCGCAAACCTCCCCACAGCCCAGCATCACAGGACCCCCCCCCCCGGCTCAGCCTCAATAATCAGACCTGGAACCAAGCCCATTGCTTAAAGCAAGTCTTGGGTTTGTTTTCGTTCTGCCAGCCGCAAAGCCTCTCCAGGGAAGACCGAGGCAGCTCCTCAGAGAGAGCAGGATTGATGCCGCTGTCAAAAGAGCTTAATAGGCCCAGGACTTTCAGGAAGAGCATGTTATTGCCGGGTTTTAATTTGGCCCCTGGAGGCAAATCCTCTCTCAGCTACGCACACATCGCTTCGAGGGGGTTACGGAATTCATCCCCGCTGGAAACGTCCTGGGGTGTCCAAGCCAGTTTTCAGCGCTAACACTTAATATAGCGATGTCTTTGCAGTAATGGGAACCCAAGGTGCCCCTGAGCATGTACAGAGGGCCCTGTACTCATGTCTGAGTGGCCACACCTTCCCAAAACATCTGGGGTTACAGGGAGGGTTGGGGTTAGAGGGAAATGAAACATTAAGGCGGGATTCAGTCTCTTGGTGCAGAAGTACTGCATGTCATGGCACAAGGCAAGGGGTGCCGGACTCCATATCCCATCAGGCCACAGCTCAGTGGCAGGACAGCTGCTTGGCATGCAGAAGTTTGCAACCCCCCCAAACTCCAAGGCTGCCTACACACCATACATTTAAAGCATATTTTCCTCCTCCTCTGAAGAATCTTGGGAACTGTAGTTTAAAGGTGACACAGGAACTGTAGATCTCTGTGGGGGGTGAACTACAGTTCCCAGAATTCTTTGGGGGGCGGCGTGTGCTTGAAATGTAAGCAGCGCAGATGGCAAGAGGTGGGAAGGGGCTCGGCAGGGAATCTTGAAGACTCGCTGCCGTTCAGAGCAGGCAACCCTGGCCTGGGTGGGCAGAGAATCTGACCTGATAGTAAGGGGTGGGGAGAAGAACCCCAGCTCAGCAGAAGACCTTTGCGAGAAGAAGGTCCCATTAACAAGGACCAGGTGGGAGGTGATTCAATTTCCATGCAACTCGGGAGTCATCTGATGAAGCTGAGAGCTCAGAGATTCTGCAAAGTCAAGAGGAAGGACTTTGTCATGCAGCAGGGCTACGCTGTTTGCTCCCACCAGAGAGAGCGACAGCTTGCCCAAATCAGCAGCTTTGAAAGCGGGTTAAGGAAAGTCATGGAGGTTAAGGCTGTCGCTGGCCACAGGGCCCAATGGCTCTGTTCTCCATCCTCTGCTGGCCTCTGAATGCCAGTTCTTGGAAATTGCAAGTGAAGAGAGTTCCTGCTGCCTTCAGGTCCTGCTTGCGGGATTCTCAGCGGAGGCCCAGTGTTAGAAACTCAGGTGTATAAGCTAGGCACCAAGATCCCCAGATGGTAGAGCTGCCAGGCGCCATTCTGGCACCCAGGCATCTTCACACGGTCGCCAGCAGCTGATTGCCAGGTGCAAAATACGCCTGGTTCATTTTGAACGTTGGCAATGGCAGGGATGTGGAATTGCACCTGGCCGAATCCTTATTTCGCCCACCTGCGTGGGCCACTTTGGATGGGTGGTTAGTCGCCCGAGCTCACAACAGCGCCAGGTGACCCATTTTCTTTTGCCTGCGCCGTTTGACTTCAGAAGGTCCCTGATTCATTCCACACTGGCGTGACCAGAGATACTCCCTGCCCGAAACTCCTGAGAGCTGCTGCCAGACAGAGTAGGCAGTCTTGAGCCAAATGGGTCAGGAATGCATTTTCAGCTGGATTCCTCCTGTGGGGTTGTTGCTTGTTTGCGTGTGTGCATCTGTGTGCACCTGGGACTGTCTAGAGCAGCCAGATCATAGAATCGTAGGATCATCGAGTTTGGCCCCCACTTCCCAAGGCAGTCCATTCCACTGTCGGAGGCTTCTTTCCTTGGGGCTTCACTAGTTTCAGCTTCAACTTTGAAACCACAGGGACTAGCAGCTTAGCTCAATTTCTTTTTTTGGGGGGGGGAATCGTTTTTATTTGATCTTACAAATATAAATTTATAATAATGCCAAATACATATCCGTATATAGAGATTTTCCTGAATCGCAAGACATCCACTCTATTATCAACATTTAAAACTGCATATAATCTGTATTTTGTATCCATCCATATTATCCATAGCATTTGTTAGATTACAAGTGAAATTAGATTCCTGCTAATGTTTCCATCTGCTTATAGCGGTCTCCTAAATAGGTTATAAAAATTTTCCTGTTCTTTCAAAAAGTTTTTCTCCTCTTGTTTTCTGAGTTTTCCAGTCAGCTTTGCCATTTTCGGCATAGTCCATCAGCTTAGTTTGCCATTTCTCTCTGGTTGTTGTTGTTTAGTCGTTTAGTTGTGTCCGCCTCTTCGTGACCCCCTGGACCAGAGCACGCCAGGCACTCCTGTCTTCCACTGCCTCCCGCAGTTTGGTCAAACTCATGCTGGTAGCTTCGAGAACACTGTCCCACCATCTCGGCCTCTGTCGCCCCCTTCTCCTTGTGCCCTCCATCTTTCCCAACATCAGGGTCTTTCCACAGAGTCTTCTCTTCTCATGAGGTGGCCAAAGTATTGGAACCTCAGCTTCAGGATCTGTCCTTCCAGGGAGCACTCATGGCTGATTTCCTTCAGAATAGAGAGGTTTGATCTTGAGAGTCCATGGGACTCTCAAGAGTCTCCTCCAGCACCAGAATTCAAAAGCATCCATTCTTCGGCCATCAGCCTTCTTTATGGTCCAGCTCTCACTTCCATACATCACTACTGGGAAAACCATGGCTTTAACTATACAGACCTTTGTTGGCAAGGTGATGTCTCTGCTTTTTAAGAAGCTCTCTAGGTTAGGGACTCTTTATTCTTTCCATCTCTGGGCTAGTAGCATCCGTGTGGCTGTTGTCGGATACATAAATGTAGCTCAGTTTTTTTTAAGGAAAGCTGAGATTATCACATACGGCTGGGCCAATTCCCTCCCCACTTGTTTTTTTTGTGTGTGTGTGTGAAAGAGAGGGGAGCATGTTGCCCAACCCACCTAGTTCCTTTCCTAACCAGGAAGTTGCAGCTTTTATATTTTGTATTATCCTGGAGGAACTTGGGTGCATTTGAGCTGAATCTGGCCTTCGTGGGGAGAACTGCCTCTGACAGCTCTTTCTGAGGCAAGATGCTTGTCCAAAGGTCACGGTCCGCGTTGCCAAATTGATGGTGGTACAGCTGTGTCTTTTGCGAGGGAGGTTTTCCTCCAAGGCTGTTGACCTGTGTCCTATATAGTGATGCTGCCACGTGACACCCTCTTTTTTTCTTCCTTCCTTTAATTAGCTAAAAGCCCTCTTGGCAGGTTTGCGTCCTGCGGCAGTTCAGAGCCAAGCTCTGCTTAGGTTTCCACTGTGTTTGGCATCCTTTTAGACCAGCCGTCACTAACCTGGCTTCCTCCAGATGCTTAGACTACAGCTCCCAGCAGTGGCACCAACGGAGAGCCAGTGTGGTTAGAGCGCCGGACTAGAACCTGGGAGACCCGGGTTCAAATCTCCCCCTCTTGGCCATGAAGCTGACTGGGTGTGACGTTGGGCCGGTCACTGTCTTCTCTCAGCCTTACCCACCTCGCAGGGTTGTTGTGAGGATTAATGGGAGAGAAAGGGGGAAAGCATGTATGCCACCTTGAGCTCCTTTGGAGGAAAAGGTGGGATATAAAGGCAATATATAAAATATTATATGACAGCAGTGCCTGGAGGGTCCTCCAGCCCTGATGATTGCATTTTCTGTCAATTCTGAAACTTCCTTATCTCTAGCTGTTTTCAGGTTTCTTTATTTTTAACTTCTTAGTTTTATCAGCTG